CTCAAATATGTGCTTCGGCATTCTAACTTCCCGTCCGGGCATATACAAAAAGGAAAAGTGGTTGGTTGGAAGGAATCTGAAGGCATTCTATCTGTTCTATCTGTAATAAACCAAAGGAATGATGACCCTGGAGGAGCTGGAGCACTCCTTGTACATCGCCCCATTACATGCCAAAACACACATATGGTCGGCAGAGACCATGATGGCTTTTCTGGAGTTCTATGCGGGTGAGCTTCGTGAGAGGCGACGGCAACTGAAGCTGACTTTGAAGGACAGGGCTCTATTGCTCTGCGATCAAGCAACGCAACACTCATCAAAAAAGTTTGAGGCCCTTAAGTTGGCCTGGATGAGTCAGCACAACGTGGAACCTTGGTGTCAGCCCAACAAACAGACATTCTATGTGTACATACTCCTGGATTCCAGTAGAGTTTAATCCGGTCCACTTATTTAATTCCAGTAGTTTTTAGTAGGTACCCCGAATTATTTTTATCTACTGTATATATATATATAGTATTATAGAAATATGGAAAAGGCCAAACATTGCCACTTAGGAGATCATCTGCGGCGACAGCCCCAACTGCCAAATCCCTGGCGGATGGGGCGCGGCCGGAGGGCCAAACGACGGCTGGCATCATCACATGCATCAGCTGACATATGCATTCAACGCCTGCGCTGCACGATGGAGCGCCAGCTTTGACATCCGGAGGCAGCTCGATGAACTTGATCTTTCCATTCAGTCGACTCCATCAACCAAGACTTCAATTATGACTTCCCTGCAGGCAGACGCCTATGCACTCCAATCATTGGGCAAGTTTGAGTTCTTTGGCCTTTTTTCTGGGAGATGGATTTGCTTTTTTGGTCTTGGTTTCCAGGGGAACAGTTTCAGTCTCAAATGACAGCTGTGCATCCAAGGTCAGGAAGATTGGTGTGGTATGCCTGGTTATCGAGAGGGTTCATCACCGAAGAGCAGTTGGCTGACTGGCGGTTTGGAGGTCGGAAGCATTCTAACTCCTGTGTTTTCTGTTCAGGTTTATATCAATCTACATCCACATAATTTTGTGTAAGTCATAGATATTTTTCCTGGTGTGGGCTGCTGACTGGCGGTTTGGAGGTCGGAAGCATTCTAACTCCTGTTTTGTACGCAGGTTTACACCAGCATCCATCCACATAATTTTGTGTAATAAATATATATATAATATATATAATATGTATATATATATATTTGGATTGGTGTGGTATGCCTATCTATCACAATATTCCATCTATATATATAGATATGGGTGGGGGGGGCCAGTTTTTGGAGGGTGCTTTTAAGTGTGCATTCCATTCGACGAGTATCTACTCCAGGATGATTATGTGATATATATATATGGAACCTAGAAAGTGCTTTGTGCTTCCATTATTTACTTCTAGACTTAGACTGTGTGGCAACATGGCCATAGATAGAATGTGGATAATGTTCACCCATAGTCCTGCTAATAAGGGTTGGCACACATTCCAACTGTGGCTTGCCCCATCAGGATCTGTGGCAGCTGTCAAGCAATGCCTCAAGAGACATCGCAATAGCATGCAGCAAATCTTGCAACTGGACCAGCTTCCTGACCAGTCTTTAGACGAGAATGAACGGGCCCAGATGCAGATGCTGCGGAATGAGCCAATGGAGGGTGAGAGGCACATGATCTGGGCTATACAAAGCGGGTCTGATGAGCAAACCCGCCAGGCTTTGCCTTCTTGGATGTGCGAGCCTATCCGGAGGTACACAGCCAAGTGGCTTGAGGAGCACAAAAGCTGGCAGCTGAAAATCTCACGGAGGGCGGCAGAGGGCAAAAACCTTACAGAAAGAATGCAGAAATTGTACACAGATTGGCAGGAAGAGAAAAAGACCATCCGGTTGTTGTTCAACAAGGTGAAGCAGTGTGAGGTCACCACTGTCCGCAAGAACGCAGACGTGGCAAGAATGCGACGGGAACTCTTTTCCATCGACATCGAGATGTCTCCAGAGGCAAGCTTGGTCAAGCTGAAAGCTGGAGGTGGAAACTCCTTTAAGCTGGTGGTGCTCCTCGGCGCTGCCCAGCCAGGCATTGAGAACGAGAATGCAGTCCCTTCAAGTTTGGATCAAGGCCTGGCTGAAGGGGCCCTGCGTTCCGTGGACCAGGCTGAAGAGGCCTTGCTTGCTGACTCAGATGAGGAGATGGAGGCAAAGGACGGGTTCCTCGATGAGCAAGAGGCCTTGGTGACGGAAGCTGCAGCCTTGGAGGGTTCCGGTCATGAAGAGGTGCTGGGATTCAGTTCAGAAGAGGAAGAATTGAGAAACTTGGTGCCTCCAGGGTATGTGCGGGTCAAAGCATTCCACCACCGGCCAGCATATTGCAAATTGGAGGCACTGGGTTTGGTGGCGTTGCCACCAGGCGGCATCCACATTAGCTACCACAGCGGGAGCCGCACGTGGTCAGGCTATCACCCCGACAAGGGTTCCAAGGAGCTCTGTTACACTCACAGCGGCACCACGCGGAGAACAGAGGCGGAAGCTTTGTTATTGGTGATTCGTGGGCTCTTGAAGCTGTATATGGACAAACATCCCCGCGATGGGATGTGGAGACTTCAACACGATAGAGTAGTTGAAGCTCTAGCCACCGAGGCTTATCTGTAGACGGCTTGTGCACATTTGTTGTTCTCGCTCATTTATTGTTCTCGCTTGTGGAACCGTATCGTTACATCTTCCAAGTTTCACAGTTAGAATGTCTCATTTGGTTGTGTTGTGAAGAGCAAGGACAAACTCTTGAGGGCCCTGATGTCAGGGTTGTTTGGGGTACAGTTGGCCGGCGTGTGCTTTATCAACTTGATATACATTGAAACAGTTCATGCATAGATTGTTTGCTTCTATATTTTTATATAGTATATAGATAATGATGTGATGTTATATATATATATAGACTAATTGATATTGCAGTCGAGTCTTGTTTACAATGTACAGCGCACTAGCCCGGTCTGATTTGCAGGCCCTGGCACAAGGTCCCTCCTTTGGGGTAAATCTACTGGAAGGCGTTTATCAAGTTTATGGCCGGCCCTCTTTCCCGCTCAACTGTCTCGACACCTGCGTTTGCTATCCCAAATTCCTCAAAACTAACAGTTAGAATGTGTCAGTTTTTTTGGTTGTTCAAAGCGTGGCTCAAGGGCAAGGCCATTGGGGATCATTGGGGGAAATTGCCGCTGGTTGGCATTTTGTGTTCACTACGCAACGGTATGGTGGACAGTTTTGTAGAAAAATGATGCCTACCATCTGATGTGAAAAAAGTGCCAGCCCGGTATTGGATGGTTCATCCAAGAAGCAGAATTTGCTTTGCCAGATAGAATCTTTCGGGACGTTCTGAGTAAGGGAAAAAGGATCGCAGGGGAAGAGGCTCTTCGGAGAGAGCTTTTTGACACTTCCGCCCGGGTCGGACATGAAACAAACTGGAGGCCATGACTACTAGTAACAAGAAGCTATTAGGGGCTCCCGGCCTTACTACTAGGAGCAAGGACGCTACTAGGGACTCCTGGCCTTACTACTAGTGATCATTCTCTGTCTTTTTCCTTTTGACGGACTGTAGTTAGAATGGGTGTCCTAAGTATTGATGCTTAGCTTTGTACTGGCATTCTATCTCTGAGGTTTTTTTGATGTCTTGCCGGCATTCTTTCTGTGGCCTTTTTCCTGGGCATTCTATCTGTGTAGAAAAAAAAAAGCACATATGGGACACCCATTCTAACTTACAGTCCGTCAATATATATATAATATATAGATGTAGCTGAATAAGGATGTTTTGATGATTTTTAAATTTGTTGATAGAAGTGCTGAGAATAGTGCCTTGGTATATTCCAGAAGCAAAACCTGAATGATTCAGGATTATATGTTTGATCAAAAGAGCGGTGGTTATATAGTACCATAAAGGAATACACAAATGGCCCTGTGACTGAAACTATATAACCAAACTATGCGTTTGCCATCCGTGCTGCATGTGTGCAAAAAAAGATCCAACACTACATGCATTTTCAGGCGTCCTGCAGACAGAGTCTTTGTTGAGGGAACCAAGGGCGGTGGTCCTGGAAGTGGCACAAAGGTTTCTGGAGGAACCCAGTTTCAGCTAAGAGGCCATGCAGGTTTGGACCAACATGTGGTGGTGAGATGTGGCGAACGTGCTCTCCGCTGGACGGTGTGCTTGAGGATCTTCCAGGCTAGCGACCAATCTCCTGCCAATGGGGTTAATGTATATATATATATATATTCAATAATTATTCTGTCCCCCTTTGTTCTATCCACGACCGTCTTGGCCAACTTCGGAGTGTCCGACGCGGGTAGATGTGCCCCGCGGACGCCAAATGACCAGCGCTTGCTCACTTGGCTCACTTGGCTCGAGTGTTTGGCAACGTCAGTGGAGAGTTTGCCCGAAGAGCGCAGCGCCCAGGGGCGATGGACAAGCGGGCACAAAGCCAGTCATTGAAAGGCTATTCCCATGAGTCCAGACGCCCAGCCGTGATTGCAGCACTGCGCCTGCTGGCCTATAGCATCTCGGCAAGCTTTGGATAGGTCCTGATAGGCAGCAGATGTCAATATCTGAAGGATATGAACCCTTCCAATTTTTTCTCGCAATATACACTTATATAGTTATATATATATATCAAGTATATCATCAATCAAGTGTTTTTCCCCACTAAGTGCCCTACCATGTTCGGTCATGAGTCATGTCCTTCTGGCGGAGTTGGGGCCCTTGGTCTAACTTCGTGGATTTTTGCCGCCCATTCTTCAGACGAATCGGGTGCTACCCTGTCTCTCTGGAGATGAAGCGATACGAAGCGGCTGAGCAGCAAAAAAATCGTGGGCAGCGACATAAAACCTCCTCTTCTCGGATGCAACTAACTAATGCAACTACATTTTCTATATCTCCTTCAAACGCCAGTAATCGGATGGAACCACCTGTTTGAGGTGCAGCCAAAGCCCTCTTTGCGTCGACCCAGGCATCTCTATGATGGTCTTCGGGATGATCTGCAGTGCGCTTGGCCCATCGATTCCATGGCTTGCAGAGAAGCTGAGCTGAGAAGAGACACATATAACATATATGTTTGCAAGGTTCAACAGGTTTTGCAGCTCCGGAGCTTAACACATATATTAATTGAATAATAATTGTATATATTATGAATATGCTAAACACCAAAACACACAGATACCTTTTGGGTTTAATATGTTTTGCAATGTTCACTACTGGCAGCTTCCAAGTTGGAAAGAGGATCAAGTTCTTCCGAAGGCGAGGTGGAGTGCTACTGGAACAGTCCTCAGGCTGGGGCTTTGGGCTGCGGGGTCATGCGGGGTCCCATCCCGCAGCCCGAAGAGCTCCACCCAGGAACGCGGAGGTCTCACCCGAGACCCTGGGCTATTTGCCAGCGGCACAATCGGTGATGTGCATCCTGTCCGGCTTGGCCTCCAGCATGATGGCGCCTGGGCTTCTCCGTCGATGATTGAAACAGCACTGTTCAGAAGGGCTTAGCCTGTTCAGAAGAGCCTGGACGAGGGAGGATTTTTGAAGCCAGCCAGCAGCGAGCAGCGTTTGTGGGGTGAAGGTAGGGCAATTGGTGCCGAGAGGTGAAGAAGACCCTGGGCCCCAATTACTCATTATTACTACTAGTAAGGCACTTGTGACTACTAGTAAGGCACTTGTTTCTAATAGTTTTATATATATATATAATAATCAAAAGTGTGCTTCCACTCTACCTGGACGATGAGGACCTGAACCACACGACAGTAATCATACGGTATTATCAGAGGTTAGCCAGTTGTGTTTTGGCTTGTTGTATAGTATGTCACTCCAGAGACGCCACCTGAAACCCGAGGCGTTGGTGCCCCGGAAGTATCACCATGGCCTTCTATGCCTGATGCGGCTGGGCCGCAGAGGTTGCGTGCACGGCGCGTGCGTTGGGCGAAGGCGCGCGGCAAAGGCCTGAAGGTGAGTGCGAGGAAGACAGGATCTTCAAAATAAGATCGCCTTGCACTGCCTACACAAGGTGAGGGAGTGCAGTGTAGTGTAATTGAAGAGGTTCTTAAACCAATCCAAATCGAGGGTCTTATTCATTAATTAGACCCCTTTGTTGCCTTTGCTTGCTGAGGACCCTTTGGCTTGGAGGCTTCTTTACCCTACTCCCCGTGGCCAGCAGTTTCTCGGAGAAAAGGAGAACAGACGACGGGCAACTGCCAAAGGCATCATTTGAGTGCAGATCGGACGCAGAAAGAAGCACACGTTGCGACAGTTTGGGATCAATTGGGCCGCAAATTGGGCCACACTAAGTCACTACAGTACGGAAAAACATATGAATGACTCCGAGTGATTCATTTTACAGGGGGGTCAATGGTTGGAGAGCACATGTGCAGAGTACATAAAAATGCAGTGTTTTCGGCACTTGTGAGTAGCCGGTCGCAGTGACGCACGTGACGGGGCCAGTTGTGGACGTAAAAAGCACCTGACGTTCGGGGCTAGTTGGTGCAGCACCAACTGCGAGGTCTTTTTTGTAAATGTTTTTGCGTAGTTATTTGGTGAGTGAGTTCGATGTAGTAGTTCAATCATGAATCAGCCACCAGACATAGCTTTGGCACGAGCGATATGTACCATTCTGATCAACCATGGTGCCAAACAATCATAAACTAAGCAGTTTTGTTTTGGTAAGTCGAGATGTTTGAAACGTAGGTTTCAGGGTCACACATCCAAACTCTCAAAACATTCCTTGACTTGACTCATAGATATCATAGATCTTATGTGGAAGAGTTGGGCCCAGTTGCAGCTCGTTGTGGTTTCGTCTTCATTTGGGCATCCTGTCAACATGTCTTCATTGGTTTGCTGTTTCCCCATGGCCACTCGATCGTTGATGCTTTTCATGCGGGGTCCGCATGAAGCGGACGGTCGACCGCATCCTTGGGGGTCGGAGTGTGCGCATCCAAGACAGGCAGGGAACAGCTGGTTTCAGGCTGTTCGTTCGGTGCTGCGAGAGCTGTGCAAAGCGGTGCTAGCTGCCATTTGCTCACTGACGGTCTATGTTGTTTGTAAAGTTTTTGTTTTGCCACCCTCATGTCCTAGGTGCTACTGTATGTCTTCAGCCGTGCCTCTTGCAGTAGTCAGAACAGGGACTCCAGAACGGAACCCCTGTTGTGGATCTTCATGTTTTTCTCCCACCAGTGGACTAGGTCCTTAATACCGAAAACCACAGCCCAAGCAGATATTCAACCGGTATCTTGAAGTTCTGGCGGAGCCTATTCCTGCAGGTTCCATCTATTCCTTGGTGGTGGTCTATGCATTTCAAGTTTTGCCACGGCCGTGGATTGGACAAATGACCAACCTCCTAGTCTCCCAGCTCTACGAGGTGCCTGCGCGGTCTGGTGACTGAGACCGACACGGCACGGTGACCCGACCAGGCACGGCCGTGTCGGGTGACACTCTGAGCGACCGGCTGAACACTCCAAGAGGTCAGCAGAAATCAACCAGTCTGACAGGCTGAAGATGGCTGAACTTTGACCCTTTATTTTTTCACCTCCTCCACCTCCCCCGTCAAACTGACTGAGGATGCTGCGAAGAGCAGTGCCGCCCAAAGCTTTTCTCAAGGTGGTTTTGCGCTGGGTGCTGTAGCAATGGTCGCACGGCCGAAGATGGGGAGCAAGGGGCCCGGAAGGGTGCGGGTCACTCCTGCAGCCTGCAGCTGTCAGCTGTCGAAGCTTGAAACACCGATCGACGCGGGTGTTCGATTTGTGGGTTGGTTGGTCTTCTGCTTGCTATATAATGGGAGTGAAACAGTAATTGGAATTGGAAAGTGAATCCACGAACCGTGGAGTCCAAATCGATGCACCTAGGAGAGGATGCTTTTGTCCGAAAGGTCAGATTCTCGTGTTCACAGAATCCTTGGAAGGTTTTATTTATTGGGTTGATGCAACTTATTGGGGAAGTTATTGGGGATTCTTGGTGTGGTTGTTGATCTTGTTGTGGCTGACGCCCTGACTTCCAGTTCATTCGGGTGGGGTTTGTCTTGACCAGTGGTTGTTCATGTGGTATCACGTGGTGCTTGCTGTTTCTGCTTTCACCTCCTTGACTTTCCACGGGCGGTGGAGCACTTTCGAGGCACCCCAGTGAACCCATTGGACGAAATCCACCACCGGTTGAGGCAACCGTTTCTCTTTCCTCGTAGCGACAGTACTGGGTGCAACTTCTTGAGATTGGGGCCTATGATTGGGATCCATGTCATTGAGTCATCATGCTTCCTGGAGCCGTCATGCCGGGCTTTCTACTTTTAATTGTGTATCGTTTGTCCAGGGTCATCACCTGGGTCTTGAAAGAAGGATCCATTGATGGGTGAGGACTCATCAATCAGCGGTCTTTTCGATGACAAATGGGCCACGTGCATCTATTGATTGCCTGACTGCTGGGTCCCTACTTGGGCCCCTCAGGTCTTGATGGAGCAATACTCGTCCTCGGCATTTGGAGGAGCCCAAAAGCACCCAACGGATTGATGCGGATTGGAAGCACTGGGGATGATCGTGATCGGGCCAAGATACAGACGCCTAAAACCAAAACGCACATGACTTGATGACATGAAGCCCATTTCTTTGAAAAGAAGGAACCTGGACCTAAACTTCTTCTTTTTTCTCACTGGTATTCTGCGGTTCACAGACACTGAGCAGAACCAAACTTGCATAGGGCCGGGCCTATTTGCAGGAGCTGCGGTCTTCTACATGGCAGGTGGCTTCACATGCCTCTCGTCCTTGCTCTTCTTGGTGCTGCCCACATTGGAGAATACGCCGGCAGCAGGGATGCTTGGCACGGAGTTTGGCGAGATGAATGTTGGGCAGTTTTTCTTTCCAACTATGTGGGTTGGATGTTCCAGCGCACTCTCTCCAGTGGAGGCAACCCGTTCAATCCGTGGTCTTCCGACTGACTTGGGGCGGAGGAGATTCAAGAACAGTAAATCCGGGCATCCGCGAATTGGCAAAGGCCTGGGGGGGTGTGAACCCTCGGAGTGCTGCAGCCAAGATTCCAGCTTCGTGGCTCACCTGAAGTGAATCAACCCCGAACAACCAACAAGCTAAAGAACTAAGCGCAGGACCTGATCTATGGATCCAACCCACAGAGTCCAAGCAGGTCACTTGGACCCAGGGGGTCCGTTGGTGGGTTGGTGAACGTTGCGCATGGTGTCGGTGGCTTATTCCATGCAGAAGTGCAGGAGACTACTAGTAGTCTAACCTCCTCAACCTACAGGGCCTACGGATCCCATGTGATCCCATCCCATTGTTTCCGTTTTCCATGGCGGCTTATGAAAATCCCTCTTCCGTGCATTCGATCCAATCACAGAACTATATTAAATATTGAGCTGCTTTGTGGTTGCAACTGGAGGGTGGTTCCATCAGATCCATACTGTTGATGGACAACATCCTGCACCACTTTGCGCACAGTTTTCTTGCTGCCCTCGTTCTCCCTCGTTAGCATTGGGGCCACCACAGTGAGAAAACTAGAACAAGTTGGTTCAAAATCCGCACCACCTCCTCAGAGGGGTCGCGCCAACATTGAATGAGGGGGGCCGGGGGTTGCTATGCGACCCTTCCAGGGTAAAGTGGTGAGGTGGTGCAGGATTTTGTCCATCAACAGTAGCTTTCCCCATAGCTTTCACCTTCGCCCCTTCATCTTCTCCAGACTTTTTCACTGACCCAGCACCAGGAGCTCACCCACGAAATCGATGACGTCCTCGACCTCGCGCTGCTTCTCAGTGGCAGCAGCAGGGCTTGGAGTCCTCGCCGTGGGGGTGGAAGTGGCCTGCGGCACATGGTTGATCACAGCCATGACGCAGATCCTTTGGCAAGCACATGGCAAGTGTTTGTTTTGAACTTGCAATGTGTGACATGCTTAAGTTCAGTTTGTTCTGTTCTTTGTGCTTCTGTAGTGTGGTTCTTGGCTAGCTCAGTTTTCAAATGCTGATGCTCGGTTCCAACATTGTTTGCACAGGATGGGCTTTAGCTCTGAAGCTTCTTGGCATGCAAGGTTGGTTGGTGGGTTGGTTCGTAGCAGCTATCACTGTGTGCCTTTAAGTGCCTCAAAAGGTGTTCCGATCCCAGGGGGGGGTTTGCTGTTCTACCGACGAAGTCTCGGTCCTTTTTCTGGTTCCATCCTGTCATCCTGGCCATGGGCTATTAATTAATCACTGTACATATGCCGTACAGTAATTGTATTACAATATATATATATACAGTACAAATAACAAATATGTTGCTACAGTTATTAATTACAGTAACAGCTGTAATTGCACATACTCTCCTTCACTTCCATCTTTGGCGAGTGCAGCTTCTCTCAGCCGCCCGAGTCGCGTGCGTCATGCGGCGATTCAGGCGTCATCCACATGCAATGTGACCCTCGGCGTCCGATGGGAGACGTGCGGAGCTTTGCAGTGACCACGGGTCCCCCCCAATAGATGATTGAGTGATGGCTAGTATAGTTTTTTTGAAAAGGATGTTCATGACGTTCGACCCAGTCGGTGGTTGAATGTCCAGTCGCTCACTGGTTTGGTCAGTTTTGTTTTTCAAGAGTTCAAACATACCTTCTTTAGATGTGTTCCTTGTGCTACCGGACCATGAAGTGAAGAAGGGTATAGTATCCTTATGCTTGATACGAAAAAGGTATCCTCATCGGACTCGGCTGGTGTGGTGACGTGGATTTGCTCCAAAGAGACATCACCCCCGGAGAGTTGGAGTAAACCACAGGTGTTGCGGGGATTCCTCAAGGACTCAAGGTGAATGCCATATTACCCCTAGATAGCTCGTTGATGGCCACATTTGCGACGCAGGAGAGCGCTTGCTCTTCCAGAAAAAACCCTTGGTCAAGAGGTGAATATGGGTGTGTAGTGAGTGTGGATCAACCTCTTGCAGACCTCCCAAAGAGCCACTGGAAGAAGGGAAACAGACCAAAATCTATTACGGGGTCTCCGTAGTGACATGCATACCCCGATGCCATGCGTTGAGGATCTTCTGGATCCTCTTTGCTTTGAGCCGCCTGGTGTTGGCGCCGTGCATTTGCAAGTGTTTAAGCCCTCGCCCAGCGTCCATGGTTATGGCCGGTGCAGCCCTTTCAGCTGCGTGTGACTTGGGCTTTTTAAGACCTTTAAGGGGTGAGAGCCACCAGCCGTTGAAATCGTGTCCAAACAATCCATGTGCAAAGATGTGCATCGTATTTGCTGCCTACCATGTAAAGAGTTTTTGTTTGCGATATATGCCATGGGGGAAGGCTACCGCAGTTTTTCTGCGACTGGTCTTTGTAAGGGTCGTTTGTTTGTGGTAATGACGCGAACCGTTTGTTGAAACATATGGGAAGTATGTTCCTACTTGGAGTGCTATGCATTGGCTTGCAGGAGATCTGTTTGGCAGCACCCTCCTGCACATTTGTGTCTCCACTTGACCAAATTGACTCTACAGCCCTTGGATCTACTGAATAGCACGGAGTTTCATTTCTGCAGCAACCATTTTTTACATCCCATACATCCCATGTGGACCAGTAGGGGGTATACAGTATGCACCTCCCACTTCCAAATACCCCTTCGGCCCCTTCCATTGGTCCACCACTACCAAGCGGCCTGTCCACAGGTTGCTTTCCGGTGCTCCTTTGCCCGGACCTGTGGAGCATCCTGCTGGGCGTTGCAGGCGTGGCGCTGGGCGCCGGACCTTCCTACGCCATGATCATCAGCATGGCCAAGGTGGGGTCCGGGGCCGGGGCCGTGGGGCGCCGTGATTCGGAGTGTGCAACTAGTATGTTATAGTGTAACTATAGGGTGGCAATGTGTGCCATAGCCGGTCTGTGGGTCTTCCAGCTCACTTTGCTTGTGGCTTTAGTATGGCTTATAGCCATAAATGGCTCAACCTTTGAGCACGGGAACAAGCCTATCATCACTTTCCGTCTTTCATTCTCACATCAGTAGCGATTTACACTTGATTGATCTTGATTGCATTCTATTTTAAGCAGGGCCAATCTGAACTCCAGTGACAATCCTACTTCTGTTTGGACTGTAAACAGGGATGAGTGCCTCCGTGTGCCTCCCGGCACGGAAGGGCCCAGCCTCGGACCTGACGTCTGTCGGAGCGTTTTTCGTCCTCATGGGTTCGATCGCAGCCCGTCAGCCGTCAGGAGAGGCGGCCTGGAGGGCTCACATCCATTGACACGGCCATGTTTTCCATCGCCAGCTCTCTCGGCGCAGGCGTGAGACGAAAAACGTAAGACGAATCCCGCCGTTTGTTTGGAGCGAAAAACTGCGGACGGAGAAGTGTTTCTCCCGGAATTGCATCAAGGGGGGCAAGCCCATTCAGGGAGTTTTATTGTCCATTTCCTTGAGGATGTTCTGCAGTCATTTCCTCTTCTTTGCTACGTACTTCTACTACCTCTCGCATCCAGTCATCGTGAAGCTCTCGACCAGCAATGCGCCTCATGTCTCCTGCAGTAGCGCCATGTAGCGCCTTCCTGCAGGTGGCGTGCCCTTCCTGATGAGTCGGGTCTTGAGTCTCTTTGGTACCCAAGCCTTTTGGATGGTATGAGTTCATGACATGCTTTGCGGGGGGGACAGATCCATTCGATGCGTGTACAGTACAGTCGTCTCAGAGTATCTCAGGGTGGATGGATGTGGATGGTACAATACAGAACTTAACGCGAGGGGCGAGGGCTGGTCTTAACCACCAGCTGAGGGTACTTGTGCCTTTGCATCTTCCCTAAGACCACGGGGCACCATCCCTAAAAGCCACGGAGATGTACTGTTCAAGGATATGTTTCAAGATGTTAGATCATGGCACTGTAGGAAATTCAAACATGTTGGGTGGAGCATCGTTTGGCATCATGAGGGGCGATGATGAAAGATGAGGGAACTCATAAATCCATATAAATCCCATCAATTCCCGTTGCGACAATCTCCGGAAGTCCTATCCATCCACCACACGAACCGGCAGGGCTGTGGTTTCCCAATGTCCACCAAGGCCTTCTTCCCGACTCTTTCGCTGAGGCTTAGTTGCATTGGTCCTGCAGGGCACACGTGGCCTTGCAAGTGGCGTGTTTGGGAGCGGTTTCACGGGCTCATGCTGAGACCGGTGCTGTTTCTTTGCAGCACGGTTCCATGTGGAATGTGGGTCCTTGTATTTTCAGCATTTGTTTTGAGAAATGCCTGATTTTCAGCGCCCTCCATGGGTTCAGCAACTAGGATGTCCTTTGTCTTGCTTGCCTTCACCTTCTTGCTCAACCGGCTTTCTCCACCGACAGAGCTGACAGAGCCCGACGAGGAGTCTACGGAGGCTAGTACAGCGATGGAGCAACCAGCCCCTCAGCCTGATTCAGCGGCGATTGGCCATTGGAGTAGGTTTTCATGGCTTCCAACAAGGGGGGGGGGGGGGGGTTTACAGACACCCAGCAAAGAATTGCTTCGTCTTTGTGACGGGATGGACCTGGCACGCGGCAAATGTTTCAAAGTCAAGAAGAGGCAGCTGGTCCGTAGCATTTTCTGAGTAAAAGGGAATCAAAGAGAAGAGGGATTGTATAATTCGCAATCTTTCGCACACTGGTACCTGAACTTAGAGCTACCTGAAAGCGTATCAAAACCATTCAAAAACCATTCGATCAAATATTCAATCTAACTGATGCATGTTTGGTTGGCTTCGTTTGCGGCACACCACTGACCCTCTGCCCAGGTTCCAGGCATCGTTTGGACCTACTGGGAGCAGGGTTGGGAGCACGCTCCATCCTTGTGCCAGGACGGGACGGAGCATGTCACGTCGCCCCTCTTCCGCGGTCATGTCGCTCGTGTTGTCGCCCTCTTCGAGCTGGCGTTGAAAAAACGGTCCCAAAGAAGCGGCGATCAGCGGAGTGTATGATCTGAACACCTGCAGTGTGCGGACCAATGTTAAAAGAGTTGAACTCGGTTTTGGACTCCGGTTTAGCCTCTAAGGGTATCTAAGGGTGCCAGCAAAAGCCGATTGATGTGAGGGTTTCACATGAATCTCAGCTGGTGAGTCTGGCGGAGCTGCCGGTGTTTCACTCGGGGCTTCACTGGGTCGGCGTCAAACGGACCCCTGAGTGGTGGAACAAGTCAGTCAAGACGTCATGCAGTTCTAAGGCGCCTCGGTGTGTTTGGACCCTTTCGGTTCCTTTCGGTCCTTCAAGTGTGTTGCCGCCGGTTGCCGCAAAGAGATGTGACATGATGTGACAGAGAGCCGTGTTGTCGGCCATTTCGTTGTTGAACTAGAGACCGGCCGTGTTCTACGATGTGTTCTACGATGTGCACATAGATGCACTATTTGCTTTTGCCAGCCGTGGTGTCCTGGTTTGTTCAACTGGCCGGACTCGCAATTCCTCAACCATACCCTGCAGGCCATGTGTTTTCCGCCCTTGGGCTCGCGTAGGCCTGTGTGAAGAGCTGGCGTTTGGCCAATCCGGAGTTGCACTTCCAGCAGATCTCCTCGGTCGATCTCCCCGAGCTGCTGCCCGAGCTTTGTGGCTGGATGCTCGGACGAACCAGGGGAAGACTCGGTGGGTGACGAACGAGGCGAAGCGGTGGACGTTGGGTTGATGGATGTTTATGGATGTTGATGGGTTCTCGGTGCACTCTAAATTCCATTGGATCATTGGATGATCGTCCGCCGAAATCGGCGCACCTTCATAGCTCCAAAATTATCGCGTATTTGGCACTTTCGGACTCGGTTGAGGAGTCTTCGTTTTCAACATGCCTCAACTGGTGGCTTTTGAATGTGTTTGATTTTTGGAGCTAGAAATCCATGCTCCAGTCTCACGGGCCGGGGAAGCAGGAATCGTCCATCCTTGGGGTGCTGCTCCAGATCCTGACGTCCATTTGGTGGCTTTGGTGTTCTTTTGGTTGGTCAATCTCCAGCCAAGGAGGATCCGGTGCCATTCTGAATCCCAAGCAGAGTAGCAACAACCACCCGATTTTGAGTACAAAACCACGTGCAGTGGTTTCAGAGTAGATGGCGCAACTCCCAAGATGTTTTTCATATAGGGGTCCATATAAACCGCCTTTTGGAGATTGTGCCGGCTACTCTGAACCATCTGAAACCATTGTATACTGTTACTATTGTTTCAATCAAGCATCTACATCAACGCGACCCCAGGAGGTCAGTGATGGTCACATCAAGTCCTGCACATGCCAACGGAGAGCTTCCTGGTCAGTGATGTTCACTGGACATTGCTGAGCTTTTTTTTCGGTGGGGGGTGCCCCTCTTTCGGTGGGGGATGATTTTTCAGGTTTTTGATGTTGCATGTGTATTTTAAATTGAGTTATGTTTCGTATTTATTATACATGTTGTATATATACAGTAATCAATCATACGCAGTGGAAAGGGGTGCGCCGTTTTGCTTTCCAGGTGCCTGTCCCTTGTTGTTTTGCTAACGGCTCTCGCGAGTTCCCCAGGAAAAGGTTCTGGGAGCTGCCAGCAGCTCAACGTGCTGATGTCCTCAGACTGGCCTTGCTGGATGCTTGGCGAACCGAGATCTCGTGGACGAATCCTTGGGAAGTGCTGAAAAGAATAACAAATATATATTTATATATATATATATATATTGGTAGTGACGAAGCAACCTATTTGGGGAGAAGACCGGTCTTTGTCCGACTGTTCCTTGATTTTTGGGTCGCAATCTATATTATCTACTGTATATTACAGCACGGTTTTTCTGTTCTATGCAGAGACCCATTGGGGATTGTTTGTGTTTGGAATGGTTTTGATGTATAAACCAGGTGAGTGTGATGCAAATAAATGCAAGTGATATCAAATGATCAAGTTTGAGAGGGTGGATGCACTGGCTTGAAGGATCTTGAGGGTATTTGGTGTGGTGTTTGCTTGCCTGGGGTGCGTTGCTTTGTGCACTGCCCGACCCCCCCACACCTGGGCACTCGCACACCTTGCTAAGTTGTCACTTGCAAATTGCAGCCTCCAAGGGACTGAACCAAATTGCAGGAGCATTGACCATGAAGCTTTAGTTGGGCACGTGCTATGGAAGCTTGAAACAAGCCTAGTTTCGTTACTATGCGCTCAGCAGTTCTGACTCAGAACGTGTAAAATCAATTCCATTTGAATCAACTTGCATCCTTTGCCCTTCAGGATTTCAACCCCTGCTGAGCCTCTACTTCATCCGGTTTCCTTTTTCGCTTGATGCGCCCCATCCACCCCTTGGGCCGGGAAAATGTACAACGGGTGCCCGGCCCTTTAGGAGAAGTTCGGCGGGCTTTGGGTGGACGCGACCTTGTTTTGCTCGGCTCCCGTCATGCCTTGGTTGCAAGCCAGAACCTCAGCATGTGGAAACTCCATGATGAGAACATGAGAACTAATTACTGGGGATCGAGTGAATTCAGTGTCCAAGCTTTTGGACTGATTGTGGTTCCCTCAGCGCATAGTTACAGTTGTTTTCAATATTATCGTCATGTACTTTATACCAGGGCGTTTCATCCAAGGGTGTCATTTAGAAAATAACTCACATCGTGTTGTTCTTGACTTAATATATGTATAATGTATATATGTTCTTATCAGCATTCCGCAGTAATACGAGCATCGGTGTTTGCGCGGTTGTTTTTGCCCCGGAGGTCAAGGGGATGGACACCTCCGTCCTGACCAGTCAGGCTGGCGTCAGGGGCCCACTAGTGGACAAGCTAAGGCTCTGAAGGAAGGCGGATCTGGAAGCGAGCAGGAGGGTTTCTTCTTCGTCTTCGACCGGCCTCCTGGTGCAGATTTGCTCAACACAATTGCTGCAATTGGTACAATTTGAAGAGGTCCCCCTCCAACATGGAGAGAAATCACCGACAAAATCGGCAGAAGCTGGACAACTAGCTGGACATGGGACTCTGAAAGATTGACAGGACCGTCCGGCCAACTAAAGCACGAGCATCCCTTGGATGTGGTGCTTTTCGCAGGGGGCCCACCAAAGGATACACACACAAGAACAAGTACTACTGTATAGTTGGGGGACGCCGGGCAAGCTTGTTGTCCTGCGATCTTCTCAATCTGTATTGCCAGCTTTCTTTGACAAGAGTAGAAGCAACTGCACAGTTGCTCACAGATGTTAAATTATGTTAATGTCATGTCCATTTTGCAATGATTGGGAGCACCAGTGGGAGCACCACTGGTTATATCAGTAGGACATATTAGGAATTACCACTAGTGGTTATTAATCTATTTATTGTTTTTTTGTTTTTTTTCTGCAGCTACCTTGGCCGAGGTGCAGGATCACAGGCCGAGGTGCAGGATCACCGGAGCAGTAAGTAAGACCGGTGATCTTTGTGGGAAGCACACTCGCCCAGCGGTCGTGGCAGCCCGAGGTCCCAATCCAAGTCGTGGCCGTGCGACCCCTTCGTGGACTGCGAGCTGTGGATGCTCGGACCGCCTGGACGTGCGACCCCTTTGTGGTGACCAGGAAGTGCCGATGGTTCAAAGCATGGTTATGGCTCAAAGCATAGTCCTAGCAGGTACATGCCAGGCCACCAGGTACATGGAACACATGACGAGCACCTGCAGGTCCCTTCTGTCTCTGGTCTTTTTGAGTCAAGTCCATCTGGAGAGTTGGAGCCCCAGCATCTTCGCAGCAGAGTTGCGCCGACACTAACAGCTTGTTTGCTCTGAGGATCAGCAACTGGTTCATCGCCAGCAGTCCAGGGCATCCGCTCACCTCCAACTGGCTGGCAGCCTTGCGATTGGAGTTTTGCAAGGCTGAGGTTCCGTTCACGGGCGGGAAAAGGAGCGACAATGGGAGAGTGAGATGTCAAGGAGGGTTCATGTGGATTCTAAGTCTGTCACCAGCGTTGCGTATTTCCAAACACTCTAGTCTATATTCTTTTGACCCATCATAACGTCCGCGTTAGGGTGCTTGGGAAAGATGAAGCTTTCTTGGTTCCGCAAAGGCCAGACTGTGCATGCTTAGGTGGAACATGGTGGAACCAATATGAACCAATCAATCAATACATTTCAAAACAGAATAGAAAAGACACGGTTTTTCCGTGTGGGGTCAGACTCAAACCACAGGGGCCACTTGCTTCGCCACGGGCTCGCCGAGCGCGGACGCTGGGACTGCTCAGCCGGAGGTCGACTATTTCTGCGCGCATCACAGCTTCCGCCAGATGGTCCAAGCATCGCCTGAAGCCATGAAGCTTTACCAGGAGGCCAGTGGACCCGGGAGAAGCGAGGACGAAGAGGGCGAAGATGGTGACGGTCACCATCCAATGGGGGGGGATTGGTCATGCTTGTGCCTCCTACTAAACCATAAACCATTGCATGTGAAAACCCTTGTCATCCCTGCCCTAGTCAGGAACATGTAGGCGGGTTCTCCCAGCCGGTGGGCAACGTGATTTGTTCCACTCAAAACCGGTTGGACACATGTGAACCTGTTTGTTCCATAGATCCCTTCCAAACAGGACTCATTGCTGTCCTCGGGACTGGGCCTTTCGGCGCAGGTGCCGAAGGTCTCGGCTCGCCACCCTCACCTGTTGGAGTTCGAGCTGGGCTTCGGAGGCCGCGAGACGGAGGCAGGCGCGGAGCGCTTGCGGCAGGCGCTACAAGCGGCCCCGGTGCAGAAACTCTCACATAAGACGCTTGTCGGGCTATGCTGGGCTCATTTCAGAACGATTTGAGACGTGCCGTGTATTTGTTTTTTTTGGGGGACTGGAAGTGCAAAATGTTGAACCTTTAGTAGAATTGTGAGATGGCTGCCTTTCCTACTACAAGAGATTCTACCGTTTAGTGGGGATATGTCAATTTTGATCAACCGGGGAGTGAGGTGTAACCAAGCAACTTTGCAGGGTAAATCTTTTGGCATCCTCCCTCCAACATCAAAAGCAGATGGTCCTTGAGATGAGCCAAAGGTTCGCTAGAGGCGAAACCCGCGGGGCCAGGGCCCTCCGCTTGGGATCCACTGTCAGGGGCCATTTGCAGCGTAGACATGTGAGCACTCATGAAACAAATTGGAAAATATTGGAAACTTGTCCCGCCATGGGCGGCCGGGACTGTATTGAATTGACGCGTTGTAAGTATGTCCAACTAGCTTTCTGTGACGCAACCAGAAACCCCCAAAAGATGGTTTGAAGAACGGTCGAACCAGCTGATGGTTGTCGGTGAGGTCGTTTCGGGTTTTGAAAACTTCTAATTACTTGCCCGCCTCAAGTTGTAAATTTTGCTGATTTCGATGACCTATAGCGCACATTATTGAACCAAATCGGCCTGCCAACATATGCCAAACTGTGCCTAACGATGTGGTGACCACTCAGGATCCTTCAGCCATGCTTCCTGACAGATTTGATGCATCAGTCCACGATGTTGAAGTGCCTATTTTCTTTGCATGGGGCAGCCATTGGTGAGCCTCAGTTTCAACAGTGACCCAAACAACCGCCCAATCGGAGAGCTCGAGTTCGGCAGAACCTGTTCGGTGAGAGGGCAGAACTCGGTTGTTTGATTCGATCATGTTGAGAATGCCAGTCACGTGTGTGGGCACCATACGTTCTTTTTGTGCATTTCCTTGGGCTTCGTGACTGCATGCAGAAGAAGGGAAAGCTGCTGGCGGGCACAGATGGGTCACAGATGTGACAATCAAGTGCGCGAGATGGCGCGAGTGTGTGTGGTGTGTGTGTGGGTGTGGGTGTAACCCTTGCCGCCAACGAAGACAGCTGTGGATATATTCCGCAACTCGGATTGGGGCGCCAATCCATGTATCCTGCATTGTGAATCTCCTTGGACCTATGTGACGTAAAGCCAAAGCTGTCTCATTCCGTTTTGTAAAGAGCTAATGAGGCTGTGGGGTCGGCAAACACACTTTGCTCTTGGTGGTTTGAACCTTGAGATTTTGACTCCTGGAACTTCGTGCTGAGGTTTTGATGGTTGCACCCTTCTTGCACGACTTACTACTTAGGCTTTCGTTTATACCGAGGTTTTTGAATTTCTTCAGGGCCCCGCGCTTGGGGCAATCAAATCGAACACCTAAGATCTTGAGTGTGTGTTCGATTCGATTCATTGGTGAGAGCCCACACCAACACCCCCAACAAACCAACAGTGCAAGTATACAGTATACAGTATATTAATAAACATATCGATAGCCCTGAGACGGCACCACCAACGTTGGTCTAAATTCGTTTTTGATGGCTTTACCGCTCCATATCAACTGTGAGCCCGCCCATCCCCATACCGGTTGGAAACGGAAGTGACCGACCCTGAGCTGTGGGGGCGGGGGGTGTTTCAGCTCCGGTTTGGCCGAGGATTCCTTCCTCCGCAGCTTCCGTTGCAAGCAACGGAGCAATGCTGATCTGATTCTAGAGGAGCTCGAGCGGAGAAAGAAGGTGCGCTCATCATGGCAATTGTCAATCCATGTTCCCACAAAGTAAAGATAGTAAAGTCACATGTAGCATGCTCGAACGAGCAAGCTCCATGTAGCATAGTCGAAGGATTTCGATGTTGTAATTTTCCGTTGCATCGTTGCAGCTTGCATCGTTGCAGCTTTTCCTGCAAAGTCACCTGCAAAAATCGCGGGCAGATTTGTATAGTTTTGTGCTCCGGAGCTTTCAGGATTCGACAACTCTGGGGGGGCCTCCGTCATGGTGAATGCACAGCCTTCGCGCGTTCACCAGATCTACTATAATTAGACAACTTGGAGACCTGGACCTGTAAAGAGCCCATTGGTCTGCACATGTTTGCTTGATGTATAGATTGTTATTCCAACGCGATGATGTGTAGAACCAGCGTTGAATTTGGCCTCTTCCAAGGGGTTTTTGACCTTTACTGCAGTTTGGCCCAATGCTCTCCGGCAGTGGCTGGTGGCAAGCGGGTTTTTGTCCCTGAAATCGGTGCCCTCCTGAAATCGGTGGGTGCCCTGCACGATCCCAGAACCTTGGGACCAATTCACTGCCCTCACTGTGTGGTGAGAGCAAAAGAGCAAACTCGCCGCAACGCACCAGGGCTCCAGTAGGACTGGCTTTTTTTCGGTAGGGCTCGGACTGCTTAGTGGAGAGATGTGGGAGTTCATGCCGGTGTACATGTGGAGACTGGGAACCGCCGATTTAGAACATTGTACGGTTTAAGATGGTTTAAGCCTTTATGGATCTTTATGGGCCTTTATGCGCTTTATGCCACCATTCTTTGCACTGCGACAATAGCTTTTGAGCAAAGAGTCTGGCGCAGCCCTGCGGTAAACCAGGGCTCCTCCGTTCTTGATGAGATTTGCGAGCATGGACTTGAAGCAGTGCAGGGGTGTGTTTCCCACCGGAAGTAGGGTGCCGTATATCCAAGGAAAAGTGGATCGCCCGCAAAATGGGGTTCCACGGAGAGGCAAACAGGTGGACAATGACCTTCATTTCCAGTGAAACGGCTCGGACGTCAGGTGCTGTTTAATGCCTGGATGTTGGAACTGGTCTGCGGCCTGCAGGACTTCTCCCACCTCCAAGAAGCAGAGTTCTCACAAACTCATGGTTTTTCTGTGTTTGTCCCTTCGTGGAGTCCCGTCGGGCCCTATAGGCATATATATATATATATATGACACCAAAGGACAAACAGAAAGCCCTGAACCCCATGAATCTGACAGAAAGATACAGAAAGCAGATCGAAGAAACACCTCTTTTCCAGCCTCAGGTGGCGTTATGAGCTATGCCCCGAAGGCCTTCGTGCTTTGGAGGTGCTGGAACCGGCCGGTGTGTGAAACGGAGGGGGCGAGGTCCACAGACGTTTCAAGGAACTTCAATAACTTCGAGGTCCAGGAACATTTGACATGGACTTCAGTAGCTCAAGCCACCAAAGACGCACCTCTTGGTGCACCACCTGCACCGCGGCTACGCCCGGTGCACCACCAGGCGTACGGTGGGCGGAAGATCGCGGTGGTCTCCGTGTGCGGCCCGTCGAACAGCGGCAAGAGCGCCTGGGCAGCAGTTTCGGGGAGACTGTGACCGGGGGGCAGTGTAGAAGTGTTCGCTCTCGAAGGCGACTCCCAAAGAAGAGTGGTTGACCATGTCAATGATGTTCCGTCAGGATGCGTTTGCGAAAGATGATCGTTAATCGGATCCGTATTGTGTTGAGCAGGAGCGTGTAAATTGTACTATGATAATCATTGTGTGCGAGAAAGAGGGCAAACTATTTGCCATGGAGACCGAAGGAGAAAACCTTGCAAAGCACGCTTTGACACAAGGACAAATTAAGGTTTCATATTTGAGCAGGTGATGGAAGAGGCTAAATATGAGACATATCAAATATTTAGTAAAAAATACTTCTTGGGAAAAGTGGCTAAACCCCAAACATATCAAATCGGCTGGGGGAGCAAGTATCCTCCACACTGTTGAGACGTGCTTATTGTGTAAGACCATTTGACCATTATATAGTAATATGCCATATATTGCTTTTGTTTTGAAAGCATCGAGGTATTCAAGCAAGAAGTTGTTCAATCAGAAAATTGTTGCATAGTAAGGAAACACATACAAAAACATCTAAACACATAGACGACATGTTTGACTTTGATGAGCATATACCAAAAATCCCTAAGATACCACATGAGCACATATATAGACAAACAAAAGCAATCCTGTGACACGGTGGATAAAATTTGGCCCCCCCGTCTCCAAACATGTCCATTTCCCGTAGATCTTGGGTATTTTTGGTATTGCCTTGTGAAGGCCAAGATGACAAGGCCTATCTAAACTACAAATACTTGAACAGGTATATGATAAGAGAAACACACATACACACGCAGCACAAAAAAAAGCAAGACGCACACGCTTTTGTTAGTCGGCTTCTGTTAGCGCAACCCAGACACTGGCTGTAAATAGGGTCGGAACCAGTTGAAGTATCCGAGGCTACTTGCTGAATGTCCTTTTGGGTCGCGTGGAGGAGAGCTTGCCCGCCTTCAAGGCTGGTCATGGACCTTTCCAAAGGCAGCTGGGTGATCCGCAGATGGCGGCCAAGATCAATGATTATATGGTCCATGGTGCTTTTGCATTTTGCCTTTGCTTGATCAGAAACAGAATGCTCGGAATGATTCCTCAACGGTCTCCCGTGCGAAACTTGGTGACTGGATAAGTGGGATCTTCTGCACGATGGGTGTGACATGGTGTGACAGTAGCCTATTTATTGAACAGTACAGTAGCCAAATCCTACCGCGTACCTGTTCGCAAGTGAGTCGTTTTAAGTGAGTCTCTTCATTTGCTCATTCTTTTTTGGACTTTTTCTGGGGGGTTATATAACTACTAACTACTTTTACAATTGTTTATAGGGCAATTGCCGTAATTACTGCATTTTTGGATCAATGACCATATGGCGTAACCTCCTCCAGCGGTGTGGTGGCACAGGTGGGCACTCGCCGCACGGGAAGCTGCACCGATGGTCTTTGGCTTTGGGCTCATCGGGACCGCGGCCGCTTCATGGACCATGAAAGTTACGGCCAAGGACATTCTTGTATAATCAATTATGATCATATGTATTATACATAAATATTTAAAGTTACAATATATAATGTCGACTTGTTGATTCTGTTTCAATCCCAATACTTATGACGAGGTTTAACAATCCAAATAGGCTGTTTATTAATGAAGCGTCTACATGAAGGGGCTTTGACTCATTGTGGGTGGACATGGGGGGGCGCAGCAAGTCAAAAGAGAGATTCAGTGTGGTTACAGCAGAATCTCAGATTAGCTCTGAACAATTCCCGACAATTGACAATGCAGCGTTTCAAATCAGAACGGATCAACTACCGTATATAATATGCACTATACTACCTACAAGCAATTGATTATATTCCTTTTGGACCTCCCCGCAACATAGAGGGGAAGAAAGTCGGCAAAGAATCTCAGCAGTTCAAAACAAGACAGCGACGAGAAAGAAGAAACGCCATATTGTTGACATTGATCAGGTCTGATGACGACCTTGACAGGGAATGGGTGACACAACATGTCCTCAGGCTTCCGTTGGGTACCCAATCTTGATTAGCTTTGGCAGTGGCAATGAAGCAGCCTGACACCACGTCCGTCCTCACGCAGCCGCAGGACCCGGACGACGAGAATGCGCCGATCCTGGCGTATTTGGACTGTGCAGGGCTTGGAGACAGAAGAACAAACACCAAACATTGGAACATGATGGAGCCTTGAAGCTGGTATTGATGATGTGGGTGTTCTTCCGTAATGTGGGATCCTGATTAGGAACAGTAAAAGGGATTATATACCCCCTCCATCTAAACAAATGGCAGGTCCTCTATAATAAACTACGTACCACCAAAACAAATCTGGATTCCTGGGAGGTTTTTTTTTTTGCAATTGATTGTAGTATATATATATATTGTCCAGTCCTTTCCTTTCCTGTCATAGACTGTGATTATTTATGTTACTTTCTCAGGTTCTTCGTAATTAGATTTTCTCAGCAATCCCTTTCCTATGCAGTCTCTAAAAGGAATCTTTACATAAGAATTGATTAAGGAATTGATGGCTTTGGGACGCTGTCAGTTTTGAAGAACTAGAGAAACCTATATATAATTATCATGATGCTCTCAGCAGGCCAGTCATTGGCTTGTATTGTTTAATTGCATGTTTTATTGGAACAAAAACTTGTCACAATTGAGGACCCTTATATCAGCCAAATTGATTATCGATTGAGGGTCAGCGGCATTCCAGGTCTACTACAAGCAACATCAACAACACTGCCAACACCAACACCAACAACAGATCAGATACCGTCCTAGTTTAAACCATAAACCATGCCAACTAACTTGCATGACTCTTTCAGCACCTTGTGAGAAATCAAGCGTCTTTGGGTGCGCCCGATCCGCACCGTTCACCCTTCGCCCAGGTGCTGGCTTCGGAGTCAGCGATCGCAGCTGTTGGGGCCCCAGAGAGGCCGATCTGCTCGGGTGAAACCTAGACTCAGACGAGTCCTAATACTCTCAGCCAAGTGCACAGCAGACGCTTTGACCTTTCCGGTGCCAGAAGCAAAGTGGCACGTTTGAGATGTCGGACTATGTCGGACTTGGTTGAGCTGAAGTGCTTTTGAAACCCAACAGTGACCTCCAGTGGGAAGGCGGGAGTATTATTTTCAGCGGCACTGGGAAACTGAGTGGGAAGCTGAGTTCTTTCGGTATCTTAGACCGTGCAGGATCAGGTCTCCCTGCCAAGGATTGTTTGCTTTTGTTGCAGCGAGAAGCAATCAGAAAGAGAGAGAGAGAGGGACACGGAGAGGGAACGTGGTATTGAATTGTTAGCTGTAGCCTGTGCTGGAGCGCGGCATGGTGACATTGTCATTGTTCATCCTACTTATACTTGTTTTGAAGTGTTGCATCCTTTTTGTTTGTCTCATCCACACTTCCTCTAAAAGCTCAGACTTTGATTTGTTGATGCTGTTTGGTGCTTTCTTAAGACAA